TAAATAGCTTTTTTTAAATTATTTAACAGATAATTAACTATCTTGAGGTTTGGAGGATATGCGGTAATATCTAAATATAGATGCCAACTTAAATTTTACCCATTAAAAATATGTATAAATGCCTTTCTCTACATTTTCAAATGAAACTTAAAACCTATGAATATAATTTACAAAAAAACTGATCCGATCAATTTACTAACAAGTGGAAATAATTCAAAGGTTAACAATATATTTACCTTTTAGTCTACACATCAAAACCCACACATGTCGTCGACTAACAATACGGAATAAACGACAAAGGCAAAATACTGACAAAAATATCGGATGCTATTACAAGGTATAAGCTTTCAATTCAATTATTTCGTTCACGTTCGTACATTGAACTGTTTCATTTGTAGTATTCCGGGTAATATTTAATTTAGAGTTGTTATTGTTGAGACATGCGGCATAGCGGCACGGAAGGCGAGTGAACACCCGCGGGGCGTGTTCCGAATTAATCCAATCCACGAAATAGGTATTACAGAAAGCTAATGGGGCAAAGTTTCCATGTAAGCCAATTGTGTGCCGTTAATCTAATCGGTGCCGTGTACAACGATATTTTGATATCGGCCCGACGGCAGCAATTGCCAAATGAAAAATGCGCGGATTTCCTGACTGCCTTGTAATCGCCTTGTAATCCATCAAACGTAACGATGCTGAGCGATTTGCTAAAGAAACGCTTTCAGCTAACGTCCTATTACTTATTGTCATGTTACACGCTTCGTCTATTAACGGGAAATTCCCAATACCTGCTATTGATTTTTTTTCATTAAAACTCAATGCGGAAACAACTCAGTGACTAACCGATTTAGACTGTCGACGATTGAATTCTTTGTCTGTTTGAACTTGTTATTTTTTTTTGGTTTGTTATAACGATGAGAGTAATAATAAAATTTTTGGTTGTAATTTTGTCAATTTAACATAGAATAGACTATGTCTATATATTAGACTTCCATAATGCAAAATTTTGAAAACTCTCTTTGGCATTTACTATTATTCTGCGAAGGAAATGTTAAGTTTGTAAATATTATATTATGGATACTATATTAACATAATGTTATAATAATTAAACTTATTAAAAGTATCAAAACATTCAAACGATACTAGTTGTTTGTTATAACTATCCTTGACCAAAATAACATCATGTGATAAAAATCTTATAAACGCCAGTGAGCTTATTATAACTTTGTTCCTCGTAGCTCCAGCTGTGAAGCTACACGTCACCCCCCTAGCCCCAACCTGCCCCCCACCCGTCCGATGTGACCGTGAGCTCATGCGATAAAACAATTACTCCAATCAAGTCCAGTTTGCCATACATAAATTCACAAACAGAAAGGCCCAATAATTCATTACGCATTTGACGCAAAAATAAAAACGAAAAAATAAAAAATTCAACCATATTTCTAGTGTACCGCAATAAATCACGTTAACAAGGAAAAGAATTAACACGTTCCGATATGAACAATAAAATTTAACATAATCCAACAATACGAAACGCATATAGAGCACGCTAAATATCGTAACTGTATAATCTAAGTACACGGTATTAATTACGCTGATTACATAGTAAAGAAAAAAATAAACAAATTAAAACAATAGGTCATAGTATAATCAGATCAATTGGCTGGTTGTCGTGTTCGGCCGGCTCGCGTGTCGGGTTAGGCTCACTAGAATCTTGATATGCCTTCCCCCACTAATTATAGCCTTACCTTACCTCAAACAAAATCCTAGGCAGCATTCTCTTGTGTGAAAATATGAACTAAACTTACCGTTTACGTAAAACAGCTTTACTTCTAACAGATTCTAGATTAACTTAGCTCGGCCGGTAAACTATAATCTTTTACTGACGTCATACATAATGTTCTTTCAATCATAATTTATTTTGATGTATAACATATTATGCCATTATTATGTAAAGCTTGCTGTTAACCGATACAAAACACTAATGAAGTTAGCGTACTCCTCTCTAAGAGGCTAGCAATGCGTCTGCAGTTCTTTTCAGGTGATGGATGTCAATGGGCATCGGTGACAATTTTGCATTAAGGGTCCCACTACTCCTTTACTCCATGTTCATATAAAAATAGTATTTTAGTATTATATTTTCCATTTATACAGAAGTTTAATTCCAATGTTGATAAGTCTTAACTTAGTATTTTAAAGGAAATGGGTCGTTTGTTTCCTATCGTAATTATTTTCACACACACAAGATTGAAGTTTGCAAAATGCATCACCGTTGAATATTTGATTCTGTAGATGTCAGAATAGACGACAGCGCCACTACGGCGACTGGTGCCTTAAATAAGACATTTTAGCGAATACCTCATCCCGAGAAAATATTCCAACTATTTTACACAGCCGAATAACTATTTTTTTTTTAATTTCTTTGCATTTTAAATTTGAAGTAAATTTTAATAATATAACTGAAAAAAAAAACAATACTGGTTACTTCAACATTTTCTAGTATAAAGTAAAAAAACATAGGAAAAGAAGTAAATAGATTAACTAATACTGCTTCGTAATTTAACACCATAAAAGAAAAAGAAATTTGGTACATGAAATTAAGTCTGTCTGGGATTTTGTTGTTCTTGTATTAGAAAAGTTAAAAAGTATATTATTAGAGTTCAACAACATATTGTATCGATTTAACGCAATTTCTATCCACATTCTGTTTCAGATGCGAGAACAAAATTTTAAATTAACACTCGTTTCTTTATTGAATACAAATGATACTAACTTTTTGTTCTGTCTCTAAAAATTTACTCAATTTGCAGTTTCATATTAAAATTAAATCATTATTTTAGAGTGAAGACATTTGGAAAAGTACTGTAAAATTAACAATTCTTTTTAACTAATTTCATTACGTATAAATGTATTTAAATGCTGTTTAATATTATTAAGATATTGGATAAAAGATCAGCTATTTAGTCGCACAAATCCAAAACTTAAAACGATTTAAAAATAAAACTCAACTGCAACGCAATTCTATACGAGTTTGCGAGGCACAGCTCGAAGCTTGCCTTGCATAGAGTAACAGACAGTGACGTCTGACTTCGTGAAAAATGCATTCTATATAGACGTGAGACGCCATGCAAATAGGGAACACATTGAAAAGTCTTTCGCGCGAACTCCGGCCCGCGCTGTCATACAAGACGTTTGCCTTCTAAAACTTGGTGGTACACAAACATCATAAAGGGGACCATTCACTAGAGTGCAGCGAAGTTCACACAGAAAAGAAATGAGATTAAGGATTATGTTTACGTACCGCTTTTTTGTTTTGTGTTACATAGAGAAGTTTGACTGCCTTAATTTTTCTGACTTTAATAATTGTACTGCATGTTGGATGTTTATATAGCAAAAGTCTTTTTATTATTATGTTGTCTTATCTTACAGCTATATTATTCAGTTAAAATAAATAAAAATTAATGTGATTTATAAACAATTTAACTGCGACACAGAGTATTGTAACGGTCCTTTAGTGAATATTTCTCATACAAATCTACATCACGGAACTTTAAGAATTGTATAAATTGAAAAAACTTAAAAACTACTGTTCTGATTTAAAAAATTCTTTCACCATTAAAAAGCTACGTTATCATGTTTTTATTATTTTTTAAATGCAGGCGGGCGACATTCCGAGTAACAACTAGTTCACCTATATGTGCGTTAACAAAAAACATTGTAAAACAAAAGTCTTTACAAGTACATCACGTATTTAACATGTTTAGCAGTCGGTTGTTTCGACATCGGTTCTCGAAGTTAGTGGTTATAAAACTAGCCGTCGGTTTTGTGCGTGACTCAATCCCGAAAGTTTCCCTTCCTGACTACAGACACCCGAAACAGTGGAACACGCAATTCTATACGTGAACACTTAGTAAATCCAAGGAAATTAAATACTTACTGTAAACCTATAATCTACATGTTCTATTGCTAAACATTTTATATGGAAATAGATAAAACTCCTTTTTTCAAAATCTGTTTTTGTTTTTTTTTTTTTGACGAAATATTGGAGGTATTTGGTAATTCATCCAAATGTTACTTTATGGTATACGTTGTAACTAGTATCTATTATAATAAGATAAAAATATATAATATATTGAAAAATAAACATAAAATGCCAACATTTTATAAACACCTATCGAATAACTTCGATACAGTACGACCATAGAAAACTCTTTGATATCTATTCTCAAATCTTTGTTCGCGAGCCTGGATCGTATGTAAGAGCCGGCGACCCCTTTTCAACGGCCCTTTGATCTGTGTCATGCTTACGAAAAATCTCCTTTATCCCATGTCAATATACAATTTATTAGTGAAAATATTTCATGATCGACTTACGTTTAATCCTGATTGACTCGCCGATACTGAGATCCCTTATCATGTAACAAATAGAATGTAAGATTCACTTTTTTTGTATAATAATTCCTATGTTTTTTAAGGTATTAGTTTAATGTTAGCCAAAAATTAGGCAGGAATGTGTAAAATGTGACTTTTCCTAAACATCATAGATCTTGGTATATTTCGGAACTAGCAATGTCATTTGAAAGTATCATATTTTGAACAATGCGACTGCATGTGGATGCCGCCATTTTTGTAATTCTATAAAAATCACGTGTGCTGATATAGCATGTAGTTTTATTTATTGATATTGGGCCATCAGCAAGATGATGTTATTATACGATTACTCGGTATTCTAGATTGTGAACAAAAAATATTAATTTTACAATTTAAATTGAAATCACTTGCTACGAGTGTCTACCCATAGCTAACTTAACTCTATTCACATCATTTACATAGTTATGAACGTGGAGAACTAAAGTGAGGAGGTTTATGCTTACTGGTAACCCTCAATGCTCGTTGGCGCCCCCTTGTCAATGTCAAAAAGATGCCACAAGATCTTTGTCCACCTATACGCCACCTGTAATACAAATATGGAAGTTTTAATTTCCTCTACTTTGTTTCAGATCATGTTCGAGAATTTACCTGCGGACCTCTTTACTACAGAACCTTCTTTATGGACTCGAAGCGAGATGCACTCTATGTTGGCGCTATGTAAGTAAAATAACCTTATTTAACAAAAAGGATAAGAGACGAAAACAAAAATTTTTTGGGACACATAATTGTAATTGGAATTTACAGACCATATTACCTTCACCGCTCTCCGTTGACGTCTTATTAAAAGAAATAAATTTATATTAGTGTATGAGTCAGGTACCGCCGTAACCGACAGTAGGGCGACCACGTTTCTAGCAATAAAACGATCGAGCATAAACATTTCATTATAATATCCACGCGACATTGTTACACGCCCATTTATATCATAAACTAAAGTTCTTAAATCGGTCTATCTTTGTAGTTCATTACAAATATGCTTGTTTTATGATTTGTATTAACGTGGCGTGTTTTTCAGGGACCGACTGTTTCGTCTGAACATGAACAACATTAGTTCATCACATTGCGATGTAAGTATAAAATCACATAATTCTACAAAAAACTATTGTTATGATAAACAAAATATCAAAGAATTAAAATCATGCATCATGAATGTAGATTGTGTCTAGCATTGGTTATTTTTGTATTCGATAATTCAATTTTAATGTTGAAAAAATGTATCTTGAAGTACCTACAAGTTTTTGACTATTTTTATCTCTGGCTCAGTTCTTTAGTTACCTTAATCATTTGCTTGTCTGATTGAATTTCAATACATTCAGTGACTCGTGTTATTTATTTGTAATATTCCACAAAAGTAATTAGTTGATATAGAGCGTTAATTTAATATTCACATTTAAGATAATTTAAAAAATATCAATGTGATTTTCATTATTCTTTTACAGAGAGATTCTATTAATTTGGAGCCCAGCAACGTCGCTCAATGCGTGTCAAAAGGCAAATCTGAGGTGAGTTAAATTTTACTCAATTTCTAAGTAAGAAATTAAGACTTTTTGATTTTTAAAATTATAAATAATTACTTACATACTCTCAACTGTGATTAATTTAACTTTAATAAAACAAACTATTAGTTCGAATTCAAATAAAAGACAAAATATTCTTAAAATACCTAATAATTATCGTTACATTGTCTAACAAAATTTAAAAGAAATACATAATAAACAGGGATGTTATAATAAATTTAAAAATGCCGGTTAAGTCTTCACAAACCAGTAGTGACATTTTACAATATTACTACTAAAAATGAATGCAAAATACGTGTCATAAATCATATATTGATTAAGAACAAAAGCTGTACGTTTAATTACGCCATTAAAACGCCATAAAACGGTGTCATATGGGGCAATAAATCATACGCACCACAGCAACAACGTACAAGACTTACCGCCCGTGCAGAATTGCATGCAACTAGCACTATTTCCATCAAGGGTTAATCCCATTTTTAACAGTGAACGGCGGGAAGCATATTTCATAGCGGGAAGCTCTAAGCCGTGCTTCACTCGCTATATTAAGGCCGTTAATTTTGATTTACAATCCCGCCGTAAAAGCAATATTTGTTTTATTTCCCGGTTACACTCCGTCTGAGAGATCGGTACGATTATTGCATTGCCTTCTATTCCGCGTTCCACTAATTCGATATTAGTTGCGGACCTTCCGATTCTATCCTTGAGTGCTTTCCTATTATTTATTGCGGGATTCTATTTCTTTGTGACAAAACGATGTTAGCTTTATCTTTTGTATTTGAAATAGCAAATGTAATTCTTTCTTTTAATACAAAATAGTTATAAGCTTGAGGGCTAAATGTCATTAGTGTATTTGAATATCGACGTATTAAGTTGGTTAACAAAAAACTCTTAGTCTAGTCGCGTCTATAATGCTATCGGTATAACAAAAGCAGTAAACAAATTAAATTTTCTGTCGTTTGCAGTACAGTCGCATATAATAAGAAAGACATAAACCTTACTCAAAATGGAATATCTCGTGCAAAGAGTACGTAACCTCTTTAAGTAAGTAATAAAACCTCTTTGATAGTCAACGAGGTGGCCACATAAAGCTATACTATACTCGAGCAATATCACAATTTAACCGCAACAAATGAACATCGTGGAAACGTCATTAAACCACGCAATAGTTTAAACTTACGCAATAGCTAACAATAACAGACCACATGCTACCCACCAGAACTCTTCCGATGTTAAAAAAGTAAATTCCTTTTATTAGTAAAAAGAGAGGCCATAAAAAATAAATATATCCGACTCTATCACCTCGATCGTAGAAAGGACGGCCACTCGTGAAAGCTATAATCAAAGTTTTCTCACTGTCGGCGAGTTTTCCTTTCTCTAAACATGATGTCGTTACACGAAAAAGGCTGGAAAACGCCGTCGGCGAAATTCAGAAAGACCGCCGCGGATTTGGCTTTCCTCTTGTTGTTTTAAGCTCACAGCTCTTTGTGACGCTATTAAAGAAAAAAACTGTAAGTAAATCGTAGAACTTTAGATTTTAAGAACCAGTAAAACAGTCGACTCTATTTAGAATTTTACCACATAAGGTAGCACTTTATACCGACTTTTCAAATGAGATAGGGCTCTTCGTTGTAAAGGTATTTCTCGTTAAAGAAGATTACTTTAGCACTTTGATGTTTCAACTGTATAATTTAATTGTTAAACATTAGATACATTGGAATATTAACAGAGATGTAAATTAGCTTCTTGAGTACGTAATAAGTGCCATTAAGGTAGAATACATCTGTAGTCCGGGACAAAAGTGTCGCGGTGGCAAAAAAGGCGAGAAAAGAAAATCCGATCGTAAATCTACTTACGTAAAGTGGCGAATAATTAACGAAATGGACCAATCGAAAGCATTAGTTCCGAGTGAAGTTATGCGAGCGCTCTCGGCTAAGTGCCGTTAAAAGTAACTTAGACGTGAGCTTGATTGTTCTTCTGCTTAATTCTGATTGTTTCTGAACAAAACAGTTCACGTCTACGCGATCGCCGAACGTTCCGAGTATATTAATCCGTTAATTACTTTAGAACAATCTCTCGCGAAGTTACCGCTGCGAGCTCGAATCAAAGAAACTGTGTCAGAACTTTTTATTAAGAAACAAAGAACCTTTTTCTTGTAATTATACTTTGCCTGTATAGAGTTAAAGGAAATTATTTTATTTTCGCAACTAGGTAGTTACTAACTAATAAGTTATTTTCGCTAACATTATTTTACTATGTAACAAACCAACATAATATGAAAAGAATAGATTAGATAACCTTTAATTAAAAAATACTTTTTAATAAAAAAAAAAAAACCGACTTCCAAACAAAATACACGAAAAACAAAACAAAATGCACTAAAAACAAAATAAAATACACCAAAAACAAAATATTCTCAA